TAACTTTGCCGACATGTGGCCAACAGTAATGTTTTAATGTTCTTCGTTATTAAACATTCGCACATAAATAAGTGACGTCATATTCAGTACTTACTTTTGACAGTTCACTCTTCGGCCGCTCCCTCCTGCCGTATTTTGCGGCAAAATTACCCACACCCACCGCCGCGCTATGAATTGTGGGATATATGGGACCACGAAGCGTGCACCGGACCACGCTTGATATTTGGGGAAATCGACGGCGCATTCGGAGTATGCATTTGGAGTGCACTTCGAATTGGGACAGCCGTCGTCGTGTGCCGGTAACGTGATCGCACTTGAAATGCGTACTTCAAGCGTGCATACCCTGAATTGGAACACAGCCTATGTGTAGAGAGTGCATTTATTTACAGTGAGGTAACAGATGCACAATAAATCCCTAGACTCCCATGTGTGTGTTCCCCTTCGACGTCCGTGCTCGTGCTCCTGGCAGTTGTGTTTCTGCACACCCTGTGCGTGCTGCCCTTCTGGACCCTCGTTCCACCTGCAGGACAATAACAGAAGCAGCCGTTAAACACTGAACCAGCGTACACACGATCCGCACTTCCTAATACTACACACACTGACTTGGAGTCTTAGCTTAATGATCCCGCGCCGGTGGGAGCTCCAACCGTCTCCTAAGTAGCTCCCCCGACAAGCCCTGATCACCAACAGGTGTGTGGCAGGAACTTCAGGTGTGGCCATTCCTCCTGCAGGGCCACACCCATCAGGCGTGCATGTGGCTGTCCTCCAGCCACACATGTACACACCCTGCCTCTACATATGAGTGGAACACCGAACACAGCATAGTGCAGAAAAACACACATCCCCAAATAACAACAACAACAACAACAACAATAATAATAATAATAATAATAATAATAATAATAATAATGGTCCATCCTGCCCACGGACCCCCGAGTCCTCCAGAGCCGGGTCCGTGACATTATGTCTTTAAGATATTCCCGCAGTTTAACTAATTGGTGTGTGTTATCTGGCTTCATGGACAGATAGAGCTGGGTGTCATCAGCATAGCAGTGAAAATGTATGCTATGTCTTCTAATGATGCTGCCTAAGGGAAGCATGTATAATGTAAACAGAATTGGTCACAGCACTGAACCCTGTGGAACTCCATAATTGACCTCAGTGTGTGAAGAGGACTCTCCATTTACATGTACAAATTGGAGTCTATTAGATAGATATGATACAAACCACTGCAGTGCCAAAAAAAATTTGGCCAGATTTCTAGTAACCAGAGCTGTTCCATCCAAAATGGGATGGATGCCGTCTCTCCTAACTAGACCAGGTTTCCTCCAGAATGTTTCCCAATCATCCAATTCTCTATAAAGCCCACCTCGTGAGCTTTATAGACAATTAGAAATTTTTATGTGTTTATCTTTATACATCTTTATATGTTTGGAGAGTTGTCTGAAGGACAACGCTTTAGTAATCCTGGGCTCTGGCTGACAGGCTCAGTACATACTAACACGTGGAATATTACACAGTCTGAGGTGTGATGTTAGAGGGCTGGTCATGGTGGTTGTGCTGATGCAAGACATGCTCAGATAGATCTGAATTCAAATTTTCTTTTGTTTTTTTCAGTACCTGTCAAAAGCAGCTATTATTGTAAGAAAAAAATACATCTTATCCATAACTAGGAACACCTGTGACTACTCCACTCATGATTCACCTAAAACAAATATCTTATATCAGTCAAAGTAGTTCAAATTCTCATAAAGTTTACTTTTTGAAACTTTTCTTATAATACATACAGGTGTATACAGAATTAGGTTTACATATGGTAAATACATTGCATTGGCACAACCATCACTACCAGTCAACTAATGTCACACTAGCAGACTGAGTAATGCTGGTGGTACATACTGAGCCTGAAAGAAAGCTGACCCCTGAGCCCGTTATCTTACACACAACTCTGCATACACTTTTGTGGATCTGACTCAGCAAAAATACAGCCAAGGTCACATGTAAAAGGACAGCCAATTCAAACGCTGGGTAAGTAAATAACTTACCTGCATTAGCAATGCTTTGAGCAAAGCTTTAAGACTGTCATTGATACATATTTCTACACACTTACAGATTCAGTTGCACATTAACACATCTGATTACACAGACAGATCCACACAGATAAAAATACATACAGACCTGAAGTGAGATACAAACATACTTTTTGCTAAAATAACAGTATGGGCTCAAATTGTGGTCATAAATATTTTGTACTTGTAAATCAGAATGCGTAGCTGTCAGTTGTTACCTTCTAGACCAAAATATCTGAAAAGTTTATGTTTGTGCATCTATAGATGAGAATTTGCATGTGTGTGTGTGTAAAAAAAAAATTTGTGTTTGTAAAAAGTTAAATTATTTTTGTCATAAGGTCAGGTTACAGATACAAAGCAAAAAACTACATGTAAAACTCTGCACTCAAGTTCCTGAGCTTTGTGTGAGTTTCAACTTACACGTACGAATTTCCCATTTTTTTTCCCTTTCACTTGATTGGTCAATGTCATGTCAATCACAAATTTAACAATCCAATCAGAGAACAGATGGGTTTGGCTGTCAGAGGGGTGCTTTACTTACGTGCTTTACTTAGAACTTAACACAAAACAGTTCATAACTATGCATTCTGATTTAAAATTACAAAATATTTATGACCACAATTTGAGCCCATATAACAGCCCTATATAGGTGACACTTACTCCTGTTCTCTGACAGAAATGGCTGTTCCATACTGTGTGCGGGGGGAAGCAAACAGACAGATACACTCCTATTTTGGCATGTTTATTTGTCTGTTTTGGAAAGGATATGAATTGCCATTTCCAAGCCTAATAGCTCTCAGTTTAACTATCACTACAATGAAATGGTTACTTTTGTGAGTAACTTTATGATTGCCCGCATGTGATGTGTTTAGAGGACATATGGAAATGATAACAAAAGAAAAATAACTTCAATAATAATAATAGCTACATGTAAATGGTCACTGTAGTAGTCTACCATTTAATCACCTTCTTTTGGCCTCTAGGTTCTGGAAACACTTCCAAGCAGAGCTGCCGCTTTGCAAGCCCGACTGGGAACACTTCCAAAAGCAGGTCGTCCCCATCAGTGAGACCGGGATGGGAAATAACTGTGCCTTGTCATGAATTTGCATTCTGGATTTGTGATAGATAGTGTGCAGCCCTTCTGCTCGTCTGTGGAAGTAGGGGAGGCAACAGTTAAGTGAAGAATATAGTCAGAGATCTCTCTCTTTGAAGGTATAGGCCTGTGAGGTGGGTGTGGGATGGAATAAAATACATTTTGTTATTATCTAACCTGCAGTATCCATATTGTATTAACAAATACAGCTTATAGCTTTCAGACTATATTGAGATGAGCAAACATACTGGCAATCTTTGAACTCTTGTTATGGGAATGACTATAATCATTTTATACATATTGTATTCTTTGCCTATAAAAGAGCTGTGGCTCAGTCCATTAATTGAAGGTCAAGAGCTTTGGCCAGCGATATGTCTGGCCAATCCAGTGTGAGGTTGACTAGAGCTGTGGAAGGAATTGCAATACACGCTTACAAAACACTTAAATCAGGTTATTCTTTATTATCTTTTATTTGTTCATATTCTTTTATTAAGTTTTAAGTAGTATCATTTGATTAAAACATTCATTCAATATATTACACATATAGTTTCAGTTGTGTACGTGCTGGCCCTCTTGTGTGGTGGAAAGGTTACAAGGTTTAGCTGGTGAGGTGAGAGGTGAAATACAGTGCATTTCAGGTTGACACATACACACACACACCCACACACACACACAGTAGATAGACTCATTTATAGGTGAAAGTTTAATCATATTTTGCTTGTGCCTGCAAAAGAGCAGTTTGTTGCAGAATGTGTGCCTGATGTTCCAGACGATAAGCGAGCGCCCGGCAGCGACAGGAAGACACCTGGGATGGAAACGAGGCAATGTTCTTTTCAAACTGTGTTAAAAGTCATTGTAGTTTTGATTTGATGTATGCATGTATTGTATCTGCTTAACACATGAGGGGGCGTTAACCCTGATGATATAAAATAACTGTTTGTGTATTGTTAAGGAGAGATCTACAGCTGATGTTTTGCAGTGTACATCTCCCACACGTGTGTTCATTAAAATCATCGTTTGACTCCACCCAGCCGGATCAGTGTTGTTATTTGGATTACCTCCTGTATCCTGCCTCGAATATTTTGAATCCGTAACATGGGGTAATATGTAAAAGTTGTGGAATGTCTTTGTCTGTGTGTGTGTATATAAGATGTGAGGGCGGCAGCCATCGTCAGAGATCACCCTGGTGTATGTGTCATCCAGGGAAGGACGGATGTTGTTTTGCTTTGCTGTGTTCTAATGTGAAGTGTGTTTATTTATTTTTGATATTACATGTCTTGGTTATATCTGTCAATATGTCCTGGAGAGACTCCACCCTTTTCCCGTTTTACTAATTTGACACACCTGAGAGGAAAGGAGGGAGTGGTTATTTACAGAGAGTGCTCAATGACACATAAGACTGGTAGAGCTTGGCGTTAAGGAGTGAGAAAGATACAGCGCCAGCAAGCAGGGACCGCGGTCCGACTGCTGCAGCAACAGGAGGCCAGATTACGAGTCTGCAGGGAATTAGAGGCGGCGAGGCGGGCCGGTGCCGATTGGCAGTTACAAAGAAGCGGCGGGCAGAGTTAAGAGCTCTGCCCACCCGGGGTAAGTCTTTTGACTTGTCCCCTTTAATGAATGATAGCTGCCTAAAAGAGTAGTGACTGCCGCT